AAGTACATAAACATACCAGATTTGGAAGACTTATTAAGAAAAAAGAATATAGGGGCGCCTGGGTGGCGCAGTCGGTTAAGCGTCCGACTTCAGCCAGGTCACGATCTCGCGGTCCGTGAGTTCGAGCCCCGCGTCAGGCTCTGGGCTGATGGCTCAGAGCCTGGAGCCTGTTTCCGATTCTGTGTTTCCCTCTCTCTCTGCCCCTCCCCCGTTCATGCTCTGTCTCTCTCTATCCCAAAAATAAATAAACGTTGAAAAAAAAAAAATTTTTAAAAAAAAGAAAAAAGAATATAAAATATCTAATTAATGTTTTTATATGGATCACATATTGAAATAATTTTTGATATACTGGATTAAATACACTATTAAAATGAATTTCACTTGTTTCTGTTCACTTCTTTTATGTATATAACTCATACTGTATTTCCATTGAATAGTTCTTGTTCTGGACAAAGAGAGGAAAGGGAAGCCAATGTATTAATCTGGCAGTATTCTTCACCTTGGCTAATATAAATATTTCTATTTATACATGTGTTTTTCTCAAGCTATTACTTTCAGAATCTTCCTACCAAACATTAATTCAAAAACAAATGATCACATTTTGTAAAGGAAGAAATTAAAAGGATTACATTCAGAAGATCCCAATGCCTTGTGTTTTATTTGGAAGTCACATCTCTGGAAGATTGCACAACCGGGGGAGGATAAAGGACTTTGCTTTGCTTGAAGCTTAAACAAGACTTCTAAATGTCCTAAAATGCCATGTAGCTAAAGTTTTGTATATTAGTTCTTAGAAACTAGAAATCCTTAGATTAGAGTCCGATTTTTAGTTTCTTACTTGGCAGAAATCATTTTAACTTTCATAACATTACTGGTTATATTTGATTAGGGTTCTATTTAAATAGGCACAAATTCAAGCAAAGATTAGATTCTGCCTTTGACAATGTGTACTCAGACAGGAGGTGGATGAAAAGGTAGATGTAAAATGTGTACTCAGACCAGAGGCATGAAAAGGCCAATGGAAAATCACTTATAAAATTGCTATTTCCGTTACACTTCCCATGCTGACACTCTTCCACAGCTCATAAATAGGCAAGTTATTTACTTTACGTATATTCAATAATATGTCAAACTACTCTAAGAAAAGAAAATTATCCAGATATTTCTTTAATTTTTTTTTCAACGTTTATTTATTTTTGGGACAGAGAGAGACAGAGCATGAACGGGGGAGGGGCAGAGAGAGAGGGAGACACAGAATCGGAAACAGGCTCCAGGCTCTGAGCCATCAGCCCAGAGCCTGACGCGGGGCTCGAACTCACGGACCGCGAGATCGTGACCTGGCTGAAGTCGGACGCTTAACCGACTGCGCCACCCAGGCGCCCCTCCAGATACTTCTACCCAGGGACGATATACTATAAACCAAGAATATGTGATGACTGCCTTTAATCAGCTGTGTTACATGTAAAGGAATTATATAAATTGTGCAAAACGTGTTAATATTCTAATACAGTAACCAAAATGGAAGGAAATTCCTTCCTACGGTAAGAGTGTCCAGCTACTTTCATGTACTAGAAGGGACAAACTCAAAAATTTTTTCGAATTCTTTTCTCTAAAAAGTACCTCCTACGTCAAAAATGGTTGAGCATCTACTATATGCAAATGTTGTGCTTGGAAACTCCCATCTTAAGGCCTTATCATTCTCTTTTTCATCCCATATATTTATATTGTTTCTCAAATATGTAAGGCATTGTACTAAATAAAGTACTATAAGGGATACAAATTAAAAAACGATATAGATCTTGCCCATAAACAGCTTATAGTGCAAAAGAGATGAGAAGGTGGCCCATCTCAATTTCCCAACTAGAAGGTGGATGAAACATCAGGGTCGATAGTGTTAAGCCAGAAAAGTAGACAGTTTAGTTAAGAGGAGTTTCGAAATATGCCCTTCATGACCAATGATCACAACACTAACTTTTTCCTTTAAAAAGGAAAGAAAAAATTCAAATTTCTTCAGTAGTTCTATATGCACTTTCATAATTCCATAACATTTAACAGTGGTGAAGGTAAGATGAAAATGAAGACTAAGAAATTTTTTTTGTTGTTCTTCTTTATTAGCGGAAGTATTTGCATATTTTTATTTACTTGGATTCTTTATTTCTCTTACAAATAGAAATATTTAGGGGCGCATGGGTGGCTCCGTCAATTGAGCGTCCAACTCTTGATTTTGGCTCTGGTCATATCACAGTTCGTGGGCTAGAGCCCCGTGTCAGGCTCTGCACTGAGAGTACTAAGCCTCCTTGGGCTTCTCTCTCCCTCTGTCTCTCTGACTCTCCCCCATTTGCATGTGTTCTCTCTCGTTCTCTCTCAAAATAAATAAACTTAATAAAAAATGTATATGGTTCTGTATTAGACACTTAAACTATACAAAGGCTCAACAAAAGATGTAATTCCTTGTACCTACCAAGGGACTAAATGCAGAGAACATAGATTCTAGCAAAATTTTTCAACTCATGTCATCTTAACATGAGATTAAACAATATTCACCAATAAAACATTACTCTATGGGCATAAATGCATTGATTATTTCTAATTACCAAAAATAACTAATATATAATATTAGGATTATTTACTATACACCAGATAATGTTCTGTGCTTTAAAATTTTTAATTCTTGGGGCGCCTGGGTGGCGCAGTCGGTTAAGCATCCGACTTCAGCCAGGTCACGATCTCGCGGTCCGTGAGTTCGAGCCCCGCGTCAGGCTCTGGGCTGATGGCTCAGAGCCTGGAGCCTGTTTCCGATTCTGTGTCTCCCTCTCTCTCTGCCCCTCCCCCGTTCATGCTCTGTCTCTCTCTGTCCCAAAAATAAATAAACGTTGAAAAAAAATAAAATTTTTAATTCTTAATCTTTTTTTAATTTTTCTTTTCAATTTTTTTTTTAACGTTTATTTATTTTTGAGACAGAGAGAGACACAGCATGAACGGGGGAGGGGCAGAGAGAGAGGGAGACACAGAATCAGAAGCAGGCTCCAGGCTCCAAGCCATCAGCCCAGAGCCCGACGCGGGGCTCGAACTCGCGGACCGCGAGATCGTGACCTGAGCTGAAGTCAGACGCTTAACTGACTGAGCCACCCAGGCGCCCCTAATTCTTAATCTTTATACAACCCTGTAAGTAGGTATTATCTTCACTTGACAGCTGAGAAAATACAGGTACAGAAAAGCTAAGTAATTTGACCAACAGTCACAGAGCTGAAGAACGGCAGAGCCAGATTCCTAGTCAGCCAGCTTCTCTCCAGAATCATACTCTCAACCACTGTGGTAAACTACTTGACTGTAGCTCTTAAATCTAAAAGCCCTTAATCCTAAATCGTCAAAGGAAATGGTCTTTATTTTATACCAGGAAGAGGCATTGCTAAGAATAGAAATTTGGAAATGGTTCATGTTGTAAAGTTTTGCTTGACAATTTACTATTTAAACGTGTAAGTACATTATGTTAAAACTTTTTCCTTTACAAAAAAGCTATTAACTTTATTTAAAAATTTCTCTCAGGCCTGATTACACACACATACACTGGTTCAAAGATCATTCATGTGATACAATAACTAACACTTTGAGTGCTTCCTATTTGCCAGACACTGTTCTAAGTGCTCTACACCTATCATTTCTTTTAATTCTCATAACCCTATTTAAGTACGTACAATAACTATCTCAATTTACAGATGAGAAGACTGAGGTATGGGGAGGTTGCATAACTTGCCCAAGACCAGAAAGTTAGAGCTAGGTCTTGGATATGGATGACAGTCTGATTCCAGAGCCCACACTCTTATTTTACTATATTCATTTGTCAAGATAATGCATTGTTTTTTAAGTTGGCTTCACACCCAGCACAGAGCCCAATGCAGGGCTTGAACTCACAACCCCGAGATCAAGACCTGAACTGCAATCAAGAGTCGGACGTTTAACTGACCAAGCCACCCAGGCATCCAAAATAAGGCATTTTTAAAGGATTTATTATCTTCTCAAAAAGTTCTCAATGAGCACTCACGAAGGCTAATCAGTAATAATTAAACAAGGGATTTGATATTTTTCCTTTTAATACTATGTTAGAAGCACAGTAGAACATTTGTTTTTGAACACACTATTAATTTGTTGGTTTTGTTAAATTTATGTTACCAAAGTTGTTACCAATCTCACAAAGTTCAGAAAAACTTACAACAAGCAAATTGTTTCTGACACTGGAAGTATATAATTCTGGCTTGACTGTACAAGATCACCTAATCTATTGGTCTTTCAGTGGGCACATGGAAAAGAAGTTAGAACATAGACACAGCTTTATATAACACAAAAAGGGAGTGAAATGCCTTTTAATGTATGAGTTTTTATGACAATATAAAAAAATGGTTAGGAAAGATATTCTGAAGCAAAAGACATACTAACAATTACAGTGACAAATAATAAGGAATGTATAATCATGTTAGCTTATACAGAGTATCACAGGAATGCTGCATTGAGAGCCCTTAATACCACCTGAAGCAGTGAAGGAAAGCTTCAGAGAGAAACCATTTCTGGGAATAGGTTGCTGTTTCCAAAATAACTAAAATACAATTTGGGAAACACATCCTTAATTCGCTAATCTTCCTCAACCTTAATGTTAATTTACCAGTCAAAAGAGTTTAATTGTAAATCTCTTTTAAAAATCATGGTAAATTAAAATAAGCGTTTAAAAAAGGTAGCTCTCACAACCCTGAAACTGAAGTTTATAATACTGCAGAATTAAATACAGTAACAATTTAAAATGAAGGTTAATTGCTCATTTCTTTGATTTCATTTAGCACTGATCTAACTCAATATAGAAGGTTACATTCGTACAAGTTTACACAGCTTAATGATTAACTATATTCACCTGCCAACCTTACTGTTTGCAGTGTGGCAAATAGTGGTATATATAGAGTTTAGAAGTCTAGGTCTGCCTACAGGAGAAAATTAGTTGAATAATTACGATAAAAATGCACACGATTAAGCTCTTTCTTTTTATTGTTCCTCTAGTTATTTCTTCCAAAATTGACCAAGACTATTCATCATATGATTCTATGTCTCCAGAGCCAAAATCAAGATTTGCTATGTTAGATGATGTAAAAATTTTAGCCAATGGCCTCCTTCAGTTAGGACATGGTCTTAAAGACTTTGTCCATAAGACTAAGGGCCAAATTAATGACATATTTCAAAAACTCAACATATTTGATCAGTCTTTTTATGACCTATCACTGCAAACCAATGAAATCAAAGAAGAAGAAAAGGAACTTAGAAGAACTACATCCAAACTACAAGTCAAGAATGAAGAAGTAAAGAATATGTCACTTGAACTCACCTCAAAACTTGAAAGCCTCCTAGAAGAAAAAAATCTGCTTCAACAAAAAGTGAAATATTTGGAGAAGCAATTAACCAATTTAACTAAAAATCAACCTGAAATCCAGGAACACCCAGAAATAACTTCACTTAAAGTAAGTAGAAATCAAAGAGGGTTCATGATTATGTTTTCAATATGGATCTTTTTAAAAAATGTTTTAAGAAATGCTACTTTGTTGAATCATTGAAATACTATACTTTTCTCAAGGAAAAAAAGCTTCTAGAAAATAAAATTTCCCGTTATAATTTCAAGTTGTTTATGATTCTACACTTATTTCAGATGAAAATTATAAATCAATTAATAAAATTTTAGAACACTAAATTATTACAATATTGCCAATTACTAGAGGCAGGTAAAAGGTTAGAGGAAGATAATTTGAAACTATCCTCCCATATTGAAAATGGATAAAAGTATAAATAAATAAATAAATAAATAAATAAATAAATAAATAAAATGGATAAAAGTAGTAAGTAAATGGTAAAGATTAATTCCTATTAAAATACTATGGGTTTTTTTTTCCATTTAACTGAACTACTTTAAAGTTCAGGAAATCAGGTTTTAGAGATAGTACATTTTAAATCGTAAAAACAAAAGGATTTGAAGCATACAAGAGAAAATGGTTGCCAATATTCAATTATCTAATCCACTATTAGTTTTAAAAATTTAGATTGTAATAGTTACAAAAAACAAAAAAGACTCACTTAACAAAAAAGCAAAGAAAAAAGAAAGAAGAAATAAACTTCTAACCACCCTACAATCTATGTCCAGAATTTTGTAGAACAGCAAGATAACAGCATTAAAGACCTTCTCCAGACCGTGGAGGAACAATACAGACAATTAAATCAACAGCATAGTCAAATAAAAGAAATAGAAAAACAGGTAAGTCAATATTTTAATGGCTTGTCCAATTTTTTACATAAAATCTAGGTTTATGGGAACATTAAGCCCTAAATTTATTTTTAAAACTTCTAGTTGGGATAGTGAGTAAACCCATCACATCGGCATGATCGTTAAGATTGGAGACTCTAAAGCTCATAAACTACCTCGGTTTGAATCTGGGCTCTAAAACTTTGGTGTGACCTAACTCCTCTGTCTCTCAGTTTCTTCACTTATTCTATGAAGAAAATAAAGAACCTATCTTATAGGAGTGTTGTGAGAAAAAAAAAAAGAATTAATTTATGTAAAGTATACCTCCAATAGAGCCACTAACATGATTCTATCAAAAGTTAAAATTGGATCACATCTCTCTTTGTTTAAAACCACACAGTGGCTTCCCATCTCACTTCCAGTGGCCACAAGACCCCCAATGACTCATCTCTCTGACTTCATCTCCACTATTCTAGTCATACTGGGGTACTCTTCCCCGTTACTCAAACACATCGAACATGCTGCTGTCTCAGGGCTTTTGCCCATGCTCCCCATATCTGGAATGCTCTTCTCCCTGGTATCTGCATGGCCCACTCTCATTTCCTTTAGGTCTTTCTCAAATGTAAAATTCTCAGTGAAGCCTTCCCAAGTCACTTAATCAAAAATTATAATCCCTAAGCCCATACTTAAAAACCTGCTACCTCCTTCATTACTCTCCTTTTTTCCTTTACATGTAGCTCTATTTCATGCAATATATATATATTTTTTAGTTATTTGTCTGTCCCCTCACAAGAATGTAAACTCCATGAGAACAGGGATTTTCTTCATTTTTTCATAGCTGATGCCCCAAAATATAGAATATTGTATGAGACATAGTAGGAACTCAATAAATATGTTGAGTAAATTTGATGTCATATTTAACACAAAGAAGTCAACAAAAGCATGCTATTATTAATAGTATTAGAAACTGTGTGCCTGATGATTAAAGTTGAATACCCAACAATATAATTAATCTACAATGTAAACAGCTGGCTAGGTGAGGGAGATACCTGTCTTGAATAAAGCTATGTGAGAACCTACACATTTCAATATGGAATACCACAGTTCGAAAATATTAATTAGTAATGCTATGGAACAGGCACTCAAGAGGGTTCCAAAACTAATACAAACTTGGAGAAACTTGTAAAAAAAAAATAGTTGCCAAGAATTATAAAACAATTTCCACTAAACAAACATCATTATATGTTTCAGTAATTTTATAACTCATAATTTCAGGTTATTTTTGCTAATTATGAGACATAATTTACTAAGTTATTTTATTATTTTTCCTAACTATCCAAAAGGGTTTGTTGCCAACAACTAGTTTTGATTTCCATAATTTCCTCATTACATTACTTTTCTTATTTCTTTTTTCTTATATCTTTTATAACAGTTAAATGAGCCTACTCACAGAAACAAAATGTCACTATTATGAAATTACATACATCCTAATAATAAAATGTATGAAGAATTCAAAACAATGAATATCTGAGTTGGAAGAAGCCTTAGATCATCTGATCCAACTTCCTCAAATTTAAAATAAGGGTCTAAAACTCTATGTTAAGTGACTTTAACATCACACAGTTACTTAGGGAAAAAAAGGTTAATACCCAACAAATGAACTTTGCAACAGATCCTTATGAATTACGTCCTAAAAAATGCTGATATCAAAAAACACTAATAAGATATTACATATTCTGTTTTCTCAGGCCAACAATAAGAAAAGCTTTCAGTCAATAAAATGCAAACCCAGCACACTTTACATAAAAGTAAGCTGTTATTGCTAAAACTAACAATGAAATATTGAATGTATTGAAAGTAAGCAAATAAAGCTACCAATCTGTCACCTCTACAGATATATTTACATTCCAAAAAAACTATTAAGAAAGCAGCCTTGTTCAGGGTTCCTGGGTGGCTCAGTCGGTTAAGTGTCTGACTTTGGCTCAGGACATGACCTCACGGTTCGTGAGTTCGAGCCCCGCATTCGGCTCTCTGCTGTCAGCTCAGAGCCTACTTCAATCCTCTGCCTCCTCTCTCTCTGTGCCCCTCCCCCCCCTCAGAAATAAATAAACTTGAAAAAAGAAGAAGGAAGGAAGGAAGGGAGGGAGGGAGGGAGGGAGGGAGGGAGGAAGGATAGAAGAAGCCTTATTCAAATTATGTGCTAAGTCTTTAGGCAGGTCTGAGAATCAATCAATAAGGCCTACAACTGAGAATTATTAAAGCTTAAAATCTGCCTACTACTGAATAGCATATATATTCTATTCATATAAATAAACAGAACATGTTAAAATATGCTAAGCAAAGTCTCTACCTTTGGTCTTGCTGTTTTTTGACTAATTTCTGGTTTGTGCTTTGCTCTCCCTAGTTTTTTAAACCCATTAAACAATGTGCCTGATTACATATTTTGAGAACAAGTCATCTATATAATCTGTACAGCATTGTTTATCCCTCTTAACATCAAGAGCAATAACATACTATGAACTTAAAGATGTATATAAATTGTAATCTTAATATCCTCCCTCAGATTCCCCTAACTGTATATTCCATACCATTTTTATATTCTTCCATCAGCTAAGAAGAACTGGTGTTCAAGAATCCACAGAAAATTCTCTTTCTTCTAAACCAAGGGCACCAAGAACTACCCCTTTTCTTCACTTGAATGAAACAAAAATTGTAAAACATGATGGTAAGTTAATTTGTTGGGTTTCCTTCTTGAAGGTATTATCATCAAATTCTTTTCCTATCTTAGACATTCCCATAAAAAATAATTGCTATTCTTGGGACCTGTTCTAAACTAAAGGAGAGTAAAGAGACAAATCTACCAAATATAATGTGTCAACCTTAATTGGATCCTGGCAGCTCTTTTAACCCTATAAAACACATTTTTAAGACAATCAGGAAAATATAGTTGTAGACTTGATATTAGATAATATGACATTATTTTAAAATTTCTTAGATGTAATAATAGTATTATAGTCATGCAATAAAATAATTTCATGTTTAAGAGATACATGTCGAAATATTTAAGTGGCTAAGGGTCATGACGTTTGCAAATTTCAAATAGTACAGCAAAATACATGTTTGTATATATGTATGTTTATAAAGCAAAAATGGCAAAAGGTTAACAATTCCTGAATACAGGTGGAAAGACTATGAAGTTCTCTCTAATGTTTCTACCTTCCTGATTCCTTCAAAATTTTCATAAGAAAAACACAAAGACAGGAGAACAAAGTCTCCATTCCTGACGATACTTTAACAAAATAATAATACTTTCAAAATACACTTACTTTTATGTAATTCATACACATACACAAAAGGTCTCTCTGTAAGTTTCCTTCATGTATATTCACTCTTTCCACCTGTTGACTATGTGCTATACGCCAAACACTGTAATAATGTGTTATGTAGTATTATATTTATATCCTTCCTGGGGAGCCTGGGTGGCTCAGTTGGTTAAGCATCTGACTTCCTCTCAAGTCATGATTTTATTGCTCCTGAGTTTGAGCCCCGCATCGGGCTCTGTGCTGACAGCTCAGAGCCTCAAGCCTGCTAGGATTCTGTGTCTCCCTCTCTGTCTGTCCCTTCCCCGCTCACGCTCTGTCACTCTCAAAAAAGGATATAAAATAAATTTATATCCTTCCTTTATCTAACAAAATATGTGTCTAAAATTCTCATTTTGTCACTTTTCTTAAAAAGAAATCAGTTTGAGGGGCACCTGGGTGGCTCACTCGGTTAAGGGTCTGACTTCAGCTGAGATCAAGATCTCACAGTTCATGAGTTTGAGCCCTGCATGGGGCTCTATGCTGACAGCTTGGAGACTGGAGCCTGCTTCAGATTCTGTGTCTCCCTCTCTCTCTGTCCCTCTCTGGCTTGTGTTCTCTCTCTCAAAAATAAACATTAAGAAAAAATTTTTTTAAAAATCAGTTTGATAGTAACTATTTTAATAGTATTTGTATAACATGCCGTCTAATAAATCCGCTTTAGCATAAAGTACTTTCTTGGTAATACATTACTAAAAAAGGCTAAGGGCTACATTCACCACAATTCCATAAAATGTCAAGTAAAAGCCCAAGCTCTAAAGATACCATTCCTATTACTGTATCTTATGTAATAAACCTTCTTGATTCTAGACATTCCTGCTAATTGTACCACCATTTATAACAGAGGTGAACATACAAGTGGCATCTACTCCATTAGACCCAGCAACTCTCAAGCTTTTAATGTCTACTGTGATGTTAAATCAGGTAAAACCAGCCTGAAGAGAAAATGGACTATAATTAGCTCAGGTTACTCACTGCCTATTCGTAAAACTCAATCCTGTCATCTTTGTTGTGAATATAAAATGAAACATAAGCAACATGAGTAGTTATATAGCTCTAGTACTTACATTTGCTTTGTTTAGTTTCATATTCACTCATGCACTTGTTCAATTATTTTCCATAAAGTAATCTGAAATACTATTGTTAATAAGTTTATTAAGACAAATTCATTATTTGCCCTTTACTTAACTTCTTGGTACCATAATAATGGTACCACCATAGCAACATTAATAACTATATTACAGTGCTACCAATTAAAACCAAAACAAGAAAACAGTATTTTGTTGCATCTGTCAGCATCAATCTACTAAAGTACACAATTACGTTCATTATATTCAGGTAGTTCATGGACAGTGATTCAACACCGAATAGATGGATCACAAAACTTCAATGAAACTTGGGAAAACTACAGATATGGTTTTGGGAGGCTTGACGGTAAGGTGACTTCATTCATTCATTTGTAAAATCTATTGGGGTGCCTGGGTAGCTCAGTCAGCTGAGCATCTGACTTCGGCTCAGGTCATAATCTCATGGTTCATCAGTGCAAGCCCCGCATTGGTCTTGCTGTCAGCGCAGAGCCCGCTTTGGATTCTCTACCCCCCTTTATCTTTCTGCCCCTCTCCTGCTCATACTCTCTCTCTCTCAAAAATAAATAAAAACACTTAAAAAATATATTTACTGAGAAGCTATTATGGATTGGGCATTAGGAACGCAACAACGAATGAGGGATAGTCCCAGCCTTCACAGAACTTCATAGAACACATAATTACATATCTGTCAGTAATCTATACTTATTACAAGCGACTGTTTGAATTATGCTTACCATAATTTCATGTCTGCTCTTAAGTATATGTATCTCAATTTAATTGGATGGCTTCTAATTATCATAACTATAATTATTAAAGACAATTATGATGAAGTGCTATGTGCTCTGATAAGTGGTAAATGCTATATTTGAATGAGCTCTGAAGAAAACCATCCTTATCACAGGTCACTCTACTTTCTTTTTTTAACATTTTAGATATTAATTATTTGGAAGGTGAAAGGAACAAGGAAACTGTCAGATATACAGTACTAAATGTTTAAATCTTAATTGTTTAGGGGCGCCTGGGTGGCGCAGTCGGTTGGGCGTCCGGCTTCGGCCAGGTCACGATCTCGCGGTCCGTGGGTTCGAGCCCCGCGTCGGGCTCTGGGCTGGTGGCTCGGAGCCTGGAGCCTGTTTCAAATTCTGTGTCTCCCTCTCTCTCTGCCCCTCCCCCATTCATGCTCTGTCTCTCTCTGTCCCAAAAATAAAATAAACGTTGAAAAAAAATTAAAAAAAAAAAATAAAATAAAAAAAAAAAAAATAAATCTTAATTGTTTAAATATTATAAATGTATACTATAGAATGTGTGATTTAAAGGAAATTAGTTAATACAAATTACTATATTTTTATCACAAAATATAATAAAATAAAATAAGCATAACAAAAATGATTTTAAACCCAAAAAGGCACATTATAAAAATTCACAAATGTAAGCACTCATATATAAAGTGGAAAACATCCATTATGATATCAAATTTTGACTTAACATTCAGTACTATTTGACCATTTAAGAAATTTTGTATTCATACTACTAGTTAAATCCCTAACTAATCTTCTAAGAATGATTATTTGTAACCCCAAAATAAAAGGCTGACTGTTAAGTCCAGAGTATTCATTTACTTCTATAAGAAAGTAAGCCATTTGTACTTGTAATCCTTAAAATTGTCTTCTAATTCAATAGCAATAAAACAGTTTGTCTTTTTTCCTTAAATACTTTAACAGAAGACTGTGATAATTCAAAAGTGTCTATATTTGTTATGCTTTTAATTTCAAAGAAAAATAATTTTTAAAATTATAGAGAAGTTATTAAGAATTTTTTAACTTAAAATGTCTGTAAAATTCTATTCCCTTATTTTTCTACAAAGAAAACATATATCAAGCAAATATCAAAGGCCAAGACTATATTTGAAGAAAATGACACTACTATCCAAGTAATACTGGATATAATAGTAGAAATCCTTAACAAAACTTCTGATAGTATATGGGTATTAATAAATTCTTGATAGCAAAGCCAGTACACATAAGGACCCAGAAATGAGATAATATTTTACCAATGACCAAATCTAAAATATCTACAATTGCCTAATATATTTCATCCAAGAAATACATCTCACAATATTCATTTTAGAAAGGCTAATCAAACTTTAGGCAGGCCTATTAATATTTTTTATATTTTTTGTACATTTCACTATATTCAATAAAATTGTTTTAAAAAGAAATATTTTAAGAGACTCTAAAATAACCAAGGGATTCAAGGCTAAAACAATTCATTGATTTGCACCAATAAAAAACACTAAAAAAAAAAAAAACCCACAAAAACTGTTTGTGCCTAATCTGCAAGTAACAACCCACAGATTTTCACTTTCTTTTCAGGAGAATTTTGGTTGGGTCTAGAGAAGATATATTCCATAGTAAAGCAATCTAATTACGTTTTACGAATTGAACTAGAAGACTGGAAAGACAACAAGCATTATATCGAATATTCCTTTCACTTGGGAGATCATGAAACCAACTATACACTACACCTAGTTGAGATTACTGGCAATGTCCCCAACGCACTCCCGGAACACAAAGATTTGGCATTTTCTACTTGGGATCATAAAGCAAAAGGACATGTCAACTGTCCAGAAAGTTATTCAGGTATCTTTTTCCTAACATCAATAATTCATTTTCGTATCTACAGAATGTCTTTCCAAAGTATTAGCTAATATCTACAATGTCAACTCTTTAAAAACTGAATCCCAAATAAACATTTTGACTATAGGTAAAAATGTCTTAACATAAGTATTAACTGGATTATGGTTCAACTAGGTATTTTACCTAGGTATTTTATTTTATAAGAATTTATTTTATAATAATGTTTTATAAATAGCCTAAGATATTTTATTTTGGGTGGCATACATGAGAATTACACAGATTATTTAAAATTGGGATACATGCATAAGGCATACAATACTGTCATATTGTAAGAAATGAAGATGTACTCATAGGGAAATGCATTAACAGTACCTAGAGTTTGTATTCATTAAATTCCATATCTATCTTCTTTAGGAGGCTGGTGGTGTCACGATGTATGTGGGGAAAACAACCTGAATGGTAAATATAACAAGCCAAGAGCAAAAACTAAGCCAGAGAGGAGAAGAGGAATATATTGGAAGTCTCAAAATGGAAGGTTGTACTCTATCAAATCAACTAAAATGTTGATCCATCCAACAGATTCAGAAAGCTCTGAATGAACTGAGACAAATTAAAGAGCCAACAAATCAAACATTAAATTCATCTGAAATTACTGTGGTTTAATAATCTGATATTAAATCCCTAACACAAGGATTCAGAAATAGACTCTTGATTTTAAAGCCACTATCAACTTGAAAGTAAACATACCATCAAATCACCTCAAAGAACACCATTTATCTTTCCCAATCAAAATTCTTATATCATTTATACATATATTTTGTGATATGAGTATCAGTTTTATATAGTCACAATCCAAATTTTAACCAATGGGTGAATTTTAAGTAATTTTTTTAAAATAAAAACTTACAAGGACTTTTATTTTAAAAGTCATCATGTTGGGGCGCCTGGGTGGCGCAGTCGGTTAAGCGTCCGACTTCAGCCAGGTCACGATCTCGCGGTCCGTGAGTTCGAGCCCCACATCAGGCTCTGGGCTGATGGCTCGGAGCCTGGAGCCTGTTTCCGATTCTGTGTCTCCCTCTCTCTCTGCCCCTCCCCC